CCAAACACTATTTGACCATTTTTTGGTAAAACCTTTAATTCATAAAATATATTTATTATAAAATATATAATTTTATAAAACTCACAATCCCTTTGGCTTTAATTTCTTGATTTAAATAAATGACAGTATTTTCAGAGAATATAATTCTGTCGGCACTGCACGGAATCCTTCTTTGCTTCCAATTCTTTGGATCTTTAAAATCAAAGTTTGAATTCCATGTCTTGACATCACATTTGCATTCTTTCACTAAATTTATTACAATTATCCAAATTATGTTTAAAATAATAAACGCCTTTAAAGTATTATGAAAATTAAACATGTTTACTAAATGTTGCCAAAATTATAGTAATAAAATATTCAAATGAAACATTATTCCTAAAGCTTCATTTCGATATTCAATAATTGTAAATATGCCTCAATTGAAAAGGCCTGAAAGATATCACAAAAGTTGACACAATAATTGCTTGAATGTGAAAACTAATCTGATTTTTGGGGCGGTATATGTTATGGGAAGAAAACAATAAATCATAAACTTTTTGATATTAAGTATAAATATTGCTTTCAAATTACAAATCACTGAAAAAATTATTGTTTCAATTAAATGTTGTCGTTAATTTTATTATTTCAAAGGTAATAGAAATTGCCTTTAAATTGTAATACAACTGTTGACACAATAAATTCATTTAATATTCAGACTTCTTTCGCCAATTCCTTAGCGAATGCAATGAAGGCAACGGTAGTCTCTTCACAGGTCGGTCTGATCTGAGACTTCGGGAGAGCGAAACCATAGCTCCCTTTGTCTCTGAGTTCCACAGTATAGGCATACTTTATGCCACCCGTCCCGTACGCCCAGTCTGTTCATCACATCTCTATTAGTAATGAATATAATATACGAAACAGGTCTTACCATCTGCTCCTCCAGCGGCCGCATCTCATCATTTTGTTGTCGTTTAAGTAAAATTTATTATAACATTTTGAATATAGTTTTTAAAGGTGAATGAAATGACATACAGAGAACATTAGTGGAGGTGCCGGTCGTGTATTTAGTGCCGTAAACAGAGGCCAATGCATTTGAAGCTACTTTTGCCAATCGGGCCTAACATTCAAATTAGTTTTAATTCTTTATATTTCAATGATTTCACTCAAAACTCACCAAATTTTTATCATCAGCAGTCAAGGTATTAGTCCATCCCTTTGAGGAAAATAATTTAATTTTTAAAGTTCTAAAGATTAATAATGTTACTAAGATGAATACCCAGGGATATATCCAATACTGTCCATATGAATGAACAGCTAAATATGCCTTTATTTTGTCTCTGATTCTCATGACATAATCGGAAACGGCTTTAGTTTCGGGTTCTGAGAAAGCGGATGGACCTCTATATGTCTCCGAGCCTTCAATCAGTTTATAAACAAATATTTCAAAATTGTATTGTATCAAGTTTAAAGTTTCTAAATTATTCGTTGCTCATTAAAACATGACATGACAATAAACAAATTTTAAAAATTGGTAATCGCTTAACAATTTATCACAAAATGCATGACTAATTGATTTTAATGAGAAAACTGTTTTGATGAAACAGATAATACTGTACATGGATTAGTTGAAGCTCCCTGTTAGGATTAAATAGACGCACTGTTAGATTTAAAAGTTAACGTTCACTAGAAACAAGACCTAACCTGTCCTCCCCATTGGTACCCAAAGTTTCTGTTAGGATCAGCACCTGAATCAACGACACAACATTTGAATCAGGATCAAAGAAAGTTAACTAAATGTATACCATAACAGCTGCCGTATGGCTTACGAGTCTTTCTCCACATCCTGTCCCTGGTGTGCGTGTATTCATACCTATATTAACAAAAGAATTGGTCACATATTTAATTATCACCTAAAATGTTACGTGGATTACCCGTCAGGATTAAGAACTGGAAGAATATAGAAATCAAATTTCTGGAGCAAAGCAGTGATGTCCGCATTTCGGGCTTTATATCCCTGAACGAGGTATTGACCAAAACATTGAGTAGTGGCCGGAGATATCCATTCGCGCGCATGGATTCCCGATTCAATGAAAATGATTGGTTTGTTTTGGTTTTCATTGCCTTCGCCAATACGAATCACTTTGAGGGGTCGGCCCTCATATGAGTTACCGATAGATATAACAGAAGACACGGTCGGATATTTAGATACAACGGCGTCTAAATATGAATGAATTTTTGGGAGTCTCTGGAAGTCATCAAAATGTCTTTCGACTATATCTGCTCGCAATGGCTTTGCTCTCAACGCAGGGTTGTCCGCCTTGTCTTCAATAAAATCACTGAAATATTATATTTATAGAAATTATTTACAAAATTAAATTTTTTAAACTTTTGTATTAAAAGACTTTTCTAGATCTTCTATCATAACATTTCTCTCCAATAGTTTGTCTTCAAAAATCTTATCAAATGTATGATTGAGTTGCGGCGGAACCATAACATCGACGGGTCTGTCCACATAAGAGGGACCCCTCCAGAAGTCAAGCTTCATATAAAGCAATGTTATTATCAATGAATCGATTCAATAAATGGGTTAAAACTTACTTCTAACACATTTTCCTCTAATTCTCTCAAATAATTGAGTTGTGATTCAGTCTTAGGGACTAAACGAATGACTGAATATCCGGAATAACTGCGGATCTCTT